ATTATACACTCTCATTATTATACACTCATTATTATTACACTCTTATTATACACTCTCATTATTATACACTCATTATTATTATTACACTCTTATTATACACTCTCATTATTATACACTCATTATTATTACACTATTATTATACACTCTCATTATTATACACTCATTATTATTATACACTCTTATTATACACTCTCATTATTATACACTCATTATTATTACACTATTATTATACACTCTCATTATTATACACTCATTATTATACACTCTTATTATACACTCTCATTATTATACACTCATTATTATTACACTATTATTATACACTCTCATTATTATACACTCATTATACACTCATTATTACACTCTTATTATTATACACTCATTATTATTATACACTCTTATTATACACTCTCATTATTATACACTCATTATTATTATTACACTATTATTATACACTCATTATTATACACTCATTATTATTACACTATTATTATACACTCTCAGTATTATACACTCATTATTATTACACTATTATTATACACTCTCATTATTATACACTCATTATTATTACACTATTATTATACACTCTCAGTATTATACACTCATTATTATTACACTATTATTATACACTCTCATTATTATACACTCATTATTATTACACTATTATTATACACTCATTATTATACACTCATTATTATTATACACTCTTATTATACACTCTCATTATTATACACTCATTATTATTACACTCTTATTATACACTCTCATTATTATACACTCGTATTATTATACACTCTTATTATACACTCTCATTATTATACACTCATTATTATTACACTATTATTATACACTCTCATTATTATACACTCATTATTATTATACACTCTTATTATACACTCTCATTATTATACACTCATTATTATACTCTTATTATACACTCTCATTATTATACACTCATTATTATTATTACACTCTTATTATACACTCTCATTATTATACACTCATTATTATTACACTATTATTATACACTCTCATTATTATACACTCATTATTATTATTATACACTCTTATTATACACTCTCATTATTATACACTCATTATTATACTCTTATTATACACTCTCATTATTATACACTCATTATACACTCATTATTACACTCTTATTATTATACACTCATTATTATTATACACTCTTATTATACACTCTCATTATTATACACTCATTATTATTATTACACTATTATTATACACTCATTATTATTACACTATTATTATACACTCTCATTATTATACACTCATTATTATTACACTATTATTATACACTCTCAGTATTATACACTCATTATTATTACACTATTATTATACACTCTCATTATTATACACTCATTATTATTACAATATTATTATACACTCTCAGTATTATACACTTATTATTATTACACTATTATTATACACTCTCATTATTATACACTCATTATTATTACACTATTATTATACACTCTCAGTATTATACACTCATTATTATTACACTATTATTATACACTCATTATTATACACTCATTATTATTATACACTCTTATTATACACTCTCATTATTATACACTCATTATTATTACACTCTTATTATACACTCTCAGTATTATACACTCATTATTATTACACTATTATTATACACTCTCATTATTATACACTCGTATTATTATTATACTATTATTATACACTCTCATTATTATACACTCGTATTATTATACACTCTCATTATTATTAAATACTCTCATACACTCATTATTATTACACTATTATTATTATACACTCATTATTATAAACTCGTTATTATTATACACTCTAATTATACACTCTCATTATTATACTCATTATTATACACTCATTATACACTCATTATTATACATTCATTATTATTATACACTCCCATTATTATACGCTCATTATTATACACTCTCATTATTATGATACTCATTATTATTACACTATTATTATACACTTTCAATATTATACACTCATTATTATTAGTATACACTCTCATTATTATACACTCATTATTATACACTCATTATTATTAAATACTCTATTATTATACACTCATTATTATACACTCTCATTATTATTACACTCTTATTATTACACACATTATTATTACACGCTCTTATTATTACACGCTCTCGTTATTATTCGCTGTTATTATTATTACATACTCTTATTATTACACTCTCTTGTTATTATTATACGCTCTAGTTATTATTATTACACGCTCTCGTTATTATTACACGCTCTTGTTGTTATTATTATTACACGCTCTAGTTATTATTATTACACGCTATTATTATTATTACACGCTCTCGTTGTTATTATTACACGCTGTTATTATTATTATACGCTCTAGTTATTATTACACGCTATTATTATTACACGCTCTTGTTGTTATTATTATTACACGCTCTCGTTGTTATTATTACACGCTGTTATTATTATTATACGCTCTAGTTATTATTACACGCTATTATTATTACACTCTCGTTATTATTACACGCTGTTATTACTATTATTATTACACGCTCTTATTATTTCACGCTATTATTATTTCACGCTATTATTATTATTATTTCACGCTATTATTATTATTTCACGCTCTTATTATTATTATTTCACGCTCTTATTATTATTATTTCACGCTCTTATTATTATTTCACGCTCTTATTATTATTATTTCACGCTATTATTATTTCACGCTATTATTATTATTTCACGCTCTTATTATTATTATTTCACGCTATTATTATTTCACGCTATTATTATTATTTCACGCTCTTATTATTATTTCACGCTCTTATTTTACTGTCAGTTGTCGTATCCTCAAATCTTGTAACTCAATTCCAACTTTCTTCCCAATATGGTGTCGACTGCAAACTTGGTATAGGTATGTCATACTAATGACAATTACTATATTCTATCATTAACATTTATACATATACATGTTTTAACAATCTTTTTTACGGGTCTCATTGTCCACGCTCAACTCCCGTTGGCTGTAAATCACCACGGTCCCTTACGTCTTGGCAAGCTTCGGGGAGCCACGCCGAGGGGCGGGGCATGTGGAAGGAGGGGGGGGCGATGGGAGCACGGGGGGGAGGGGCAGATGGGACCACGGGGGGGAGGGGCAGGGAGCACGGGGGGAGGGGCGATGGGAGCACGGGGGGGAGGGGCGATGGGACCACGGGGGGGAGGGGCAGGGAGCACGGGGGGAGGGGCGATGGGAGCACGGGGTGGAGGGGCGATGGGAGCACGGGGGGAGGGGCAGGGAGCACGTGGGGGAGGCGCGATGGGAGCACGGGAGGGAGGGGCGATAGGAGCACGGGGGGGGAGGGGCGATAGGAGCACGGGGGGGGAGGGGAAGGGAGCACGGGGGGGAGGGGCAGGGAGCACGGGCGGGGAGGGGAAGGGAGCACGGGGGGGAGGGGCGATGGGAGCACGGGGGGGAGGGGCGATGGGAGCACGGGGGGGAGGGGCGATGGGAGCACGGGGGGGGAGGGGCAGGGAGCACGGGGGGGAGGGGCGATGGGAGCACGGGGGGGAGGGGCGATGGGAGCACGGGGGGGAGGGGCGATGGGAGCACGGGGGGGAGGGGCGATGGGAGCACGGGGGGGAGGGGCGATGGGAGCACGGGGGGGAGGGGCGATGGGAGCACGGGGGGGGAGGGGCGATGGGAGCACGGGGGGGGAGGGGCAGCTCCCTGACGCTGTGGCAAGCTGCGGGCCCACTTCCTGGAGTCGTGGAGTTCTGCCATTACTCGTACGGTATATTTCATTAAAGCGTGTTTTTTTAAAGTATTTTAAAATATTTTTTTTTATTTTTCCACACGTTCCAGTAACACAGCTTGGGATGCGATTCGGACCTCGTCCATACGATGGCGGGGGGAGGGGAGATGCACCCAAAGACCACTCAAGTAAAATGTTTGAGGTTTGCGTTTGACCCTCCCGCTCACCTCCTCCCAAACTCGTCTCCAAAGCTATTGATTATTTGGTAACCCTCCATCAGTCTCCTAAGCCAATGCCGAGGTCCGACTGCGTACCCTCCGTCCTGCGATGTAACAATCAACCCACCCATCCATCTCACACGAGACCATTGGAATCGACCAGTTTACAGTGGGCGCCTATACCCCCCTGTTCAGTGCGTTCACTCCTTTGACGCAGTGGTTCTTCTCACGAACTTCTCAGAAGAGGACGACGGCACTTTCGCCGATAAAGTCATCAGCAGTGTGAGGAGGCCCGCGACACATTGAACCATTGGGTGTGCTATGCCTGGCCTTCATAGGTGCCCTTGTGTACAGAAGGTCGTGGGTTCAATCCCAACCCCAAATTATATATTTGGATTTAAAGTTTTCGTGACCGCAAGGATCCATCCTCTTTGGTTCTTTCGGTAAAGTCACGTAGGTGAAAAATAATAAAATGAAAATAACTCATTTAAATCACGTTTCAGGCGCAACACAAACGTCCGTCCACCTGATGACGGACGTTTGTGTTACGCCCGAAACGTCGTGATTCGAGTTATTTTCATTTTATTATTTTTCATCTACGTGACTTTACTGAAAGTATATATATATTTGGAGTTGGCATCTGTGTGGTCGCGTGGATTTTTCTCAGTCGTTCGGGTTTTCCCTCTCCAGAATTATAAACGCCATGCGTTTGGCTGCCATGTCCACATAATGCATGTTTAACTTCTTTCGCACCGTACATGGCCAAACGTGCTTATCGTAGGTGCGATAAGCCACTTTTTTGTTGTATTATTTGTGATTGCCAGGTCGATTCTGCAAAACGAACTATGTAGCTCTGTGAGCCTTGCCTGGTAATGTCAAAAGGGTAAATAGTTTCGTTTGTCATCACCACCGTCGCTCTAACGAGTCAACATTTCTCACCCGATGAGCTTTCAACTTGGTGGCGTCTCCAGTGGTGTGGTCTTATAATAAATAAGAAACGCATACGAGTGAATTTTTTTTTATTCAAAATGGTTTATTTTACGGACTGCAGACACTTGTGTAATGTATTGAGTTAATGTGTACTAAGAATGAATAAAAGTATGACTTTAAGAACGAAGAGTAACATTTTTTTTCTTAAATGGCACATCAACAATTTGATAAAAACCGCATCAGCTCCGACGAAGTACGGGTATTTCACGTTCGCTACAGGACAATAACAGACATTTCTAATGAACCTCAACTGGATTTTCCATATGCATAAACTTCATTCGGGCGTGCCTACACGGGGCCTCTGGAATTACATTATTTCAGTCGAATTATTTAGCCATAAACGTCCCTGCACGTTGGTTTAGGTTTCCTCACGGTGTTCTGTAAGATTATGTACACACATTATTATTACGGGGGCGGGCGGTTAAGTCGGCACAAAAGCAGTACATTTAAACTTAACATGCACCAAAACATTTGAACTGAATTTTGCAAGAACCACAATTGTTGCTCTTCATCAACAGACTTCACTTAAAACAAAACCACACCTATATATTTTGTTTCAAGGGATTATTGCTGAACTAGAAACGAATAATTTGACCGATGACTTGGGTTTCCAAATTAAAAGTTTACACGATATGAGTCTGTCCGACCCTGCTGTGTTGGCGCTGAGTTCGATTCCCGACTGCTGGGTGAGGGGGGGTTGACTGCTCACTGTCTCCACGCTCGATTATAAACCAAAAACGGAGAGTGGGGTGCAGGCACACACACACACCACTTGATATCAACGGAGGTCGCGCACACGGAATTAAACTTCATGCTCCCGTCACGGAAATGTGGAATTTCCCCCAACAAAAAATGAAGATCACACACACGCTGGACCCGCACGATGTAAGGAATGATTCGACTGGTTGCAATTGTGCGCCTTTGGCGGTCTATAAATCGCAATTTGCATCAATTTAATATTCCTCATTTATTCCCTGCCTGCTCACTCGTCTGTGTGACGACGAGGTTATTTTTCCACGTGATTATCACCTTCACCACCACCATCTATAGAACGTTAGAATTTGTTTACCATCACTTGTGAACAAGGCGAGACAAAAACAAAAGTGTGAATGGGGGGGAAAAAAACTGCGCACCAGCAAGTCACGCCTTTATTAACAATCGCAAACAGAGACGCCACTTGTCAATGACTTGGAATGTTTAGGCAAAGATATTACAGTTCTGAATTTTAAACGGGAGCAAATTACGCAGGGCCTTTTGGTGGTTCTGGCATGGAATGGTTTGGGGAGGGCTTTCTTGCGGAGCAAAAGCAAAAATCGCACAAATCTCACGGAGAGAGAAATTGTTCTCGTGTTCAACGCCTAAAACAATCTTGGAAAACGAATTTAAGAGTTGATAATTGTTGCATATAAACTGTCTTAACTAGATACCAGGGAGTACATTTCTAAGTGGGTAGTTTAATTTGGAGATTAAAATACAAAATATAATATACTGCAACCATGATCTTTACAGGTAGCACCACTTACGTCCCGGGATGCACGGCCCAATTTCAATGCAATCCGATTGCACTGCAACCCAATAGATTCGTGGTGAAACACTATGCAACCGCGTGCAATGTAATCAAAGGCAATACTGCCAGACACACACACCTACTTATAACAAAACAAATGCAAAGATACCCCGTGTAGCCTGAACAGACTGTTGGGGCTAGTGCTGTTCGCGAGCAGCACCGATTAAGGGCGGCACGGCACACGAGGGGTGGGTGGCCAACACCACGCCCAGCCACTATTGTCTCCCTCGTGGTGATGTTTACAAACCACACCAGGTACTCTATTGACGCCGAGTCGACCTAGGGGAGGCTCGGGACAGCGTCAGATAATTATCGTTGCTGGTGTTGGCCATGAGCGGGAATCTTAACTCGGGTCGCCGGGTTCGTAGCCCAGTGCGCTTACCACGACACGACCACTCCCCACAACCCACACTCAAAAGATTCCCTCCCCATTTAGCCATATACATACCATGTCAGTCACAGAGATGAGGCTGTTGCGGTAGATGTTGGGTTTAACAAGGACAGGGTGAGAAATGAAGTGAGAGGAAGATTCAAGGTGGTAGAAATCACAGAATGAGAAAGGCTGGTGTGGTTCAGTCATGTGGAGAGCAGGAAAAGTATGTGGGTCAGAAGGTGCAAGTGATGCAAGTGGAAGGAAAGATCAGGAGGAAGGCAGAAGAGGTGGGGCGATATGGTGCGGTCGGACACGGTTGCCCGAGAAGCGGGAAGAGATGGCACAGGACAGGGCAGTGTGGAGAAGGTTGGCAAGGACAGCGGACCCCATACGAGTGGGACAAACTGCGTGGAAGATACTATTAAGCGAGGCAGCTATTAAGGCAGATATTGCCCACGAAGGAGTAACGTTGCCCACCAGCTGTCTCGGCCACCTTTGTCTCCCCAGTGCTGATGTTTACATGCTTCATTAGCTACTCATTTATGGTTGGGTCCACTTAGGGGAGGACCAGTGCTGGCTCAGATATTCGCCACCGATGTTTGCTTGTGGCCGAGTGATCACACACGGGTTCGCTTACTTGATCAAGAGCAGTGCGCTAACTACTACAAAGACACAGATACCCCGTGTAGCCTTAACAGACTGTTGGGACAAGTGCTGTTATTGAATACCGATGAAGGCTGGCACAGCACACGAGGGGTGTGGTGCCCAACACCACGCCCGGCCCCCTTTGTCTCCCCAATGGCGATATTTACTCCACACCACTCTCCACCACACATAAACGCACGACTAATTCGCTCACCGAACAGGCCAATGTTGGATTGTGGTCACGGCCCCGATTGACAAAAAAATATTGGATTTTGCCTCTCGTCCACAGGGTGGGGAACGGGCGTGGCAACCTCCGATTGCATGGGGCAACGGACGATGCAAAAAGCGTGGCAATTTTGCGATGCGATCAATCCATCACCTTCACGCCAGGCTCACGTAGATTGCAGTGAAATTGCTGTGCACCTTAGGTCTTCAAGAAGCAAGGAGGGGGGACATCTCATATATAGTAAGGAAGTTATGGAAGGGTGCACTCCTTTCACACCCCCCCCCCCCCAGAGTATAAGCAACGAGGTTAAAAAAAACTTTTAGGAACACCACACACGAGGCTTAATTCACATTCACGAACTCAAAACTCTAAACAGACGGGACTCGACGGCACTGCTGCGCTCACATCACCAAACTCCCACCTGAATTGTCTATCTGAAACGATAACTGAATGGGTTTTCACCTTTAAAAAAAAGGGATTTATTTAGGCTGACTACAAGGGAGGGGAGTTGTGGCGATCACGAACAAGGTGTGACGAATTAAAAAAAGAAATCAATCTCCAATTATGGCCAAAGTGGGAGTGAGAATAAAAACAGGACAATTCTGAGCCAGCGGTGAAAAGCGTTGAGATGAGCGAGGGGACAAACCCCTTTGGTTAGGGGCCCTCAAACAATTTACCACCTCTGCCTTCATTCCCCTAATCGTCTCCAAGGTTCGGTCGCTTCTCCATCGGCCAATTCCAACAGGGGGAGACAACAGCAGCAGCAGCAGTGACATCCGTGATTCAGCTTGGGTCACTAACGCACAATGCTAGCAACGACAAAATGTTAACCACGAATAAAAAAAAATGTGCTAAACCACACGCTGCCATCTGTAGCAGACGTGTGGGAGTGCCGGTGGTGGTTGTGCGCCACCACCACCGGCGCCACCAAACAGAGTGCCAGCAACTTCCCAGCAAAGCCAACAACGCAGACTCCCTCCCCCCCCCCCCCCACAACGTCAACGTGGCGACAGGAATCGACACAGGCAGAGGGGCGGGGGGGACAAACTTAAAACAACGTCCATTAACACAGTCTTACAGCAGACATGATAAGAGTCACAATCGTAGTAATGTTATAAGGCAGTGTTAACAAAGACAGGTAGCCAAAATATTTTAGGTTTGTGCTTGTACAACACTGCAGGTGCAGTCCCTTAATTGTTCTGCAGGAAGGAGCAATTACAAAGTTGAAGAAAGAGATAGAGGCTTAGAGAGGTGCTGGGTTTGTGCAGAGTCGTGCGACAGCGATGTCGATGGTGTGGGGTTTAGATGCACTGATGGGAGGAGTAGTGGGGAGGGTGGAGGGGGTAGGAGGAGGGGAGGGTGGCTGGAGGCAGTGCAAGTGTGGAGAGAGTTCCTTGACGGGAAGAGGACCGTGCGGGCGGCTGAGCGGAAGGGTATGACGCCGCCCCTTACAAGTTGTGCAACTCTTGCAGGGTCTGTTCCAGGGCTTGGTTCAGCTTCAGGTTCTCGTCCTTGGCGTGACCCAGTTTATCTGCGCACGGAAAAATTACCGAGTGGGAAGCGGGGGGCGGAAGGGGAGGGGAGAGGCGACAGGGCAAGTGAGCGGCGTGACGCTCAGGTTGAACCACAATTATAACACCCCCCCCCACCCCCCCCCCCCCCCGTGACGTTTACACAAATACAGAATCGGAATATTTATTTATACTGAAGGAATCTGATGAAGTATAAATATCTTTTTTCACAGCTATCCAGCAGCAACCGTGCACTTAAAATATACAGTATATTTTTTTAACTAGGTAAGGCCCACTGAGTTGTATATCTATTTTTCATAAGTGACCTGGCCACAAAGGAGAGCTCAACGAAGTGGCTTATCACGTGGACATTTATAGCAGCCAAATACTCTTAATGTGCGTTTCTAAATGCGGAGAGGAAAACCAGAGAACCCAGAGAAAAATCAACGTGACCAAATTCCAAATATATAGGCGTCAGGGTTGGGATCGAACCCACGACCTCCTGCATACCAGGCGAGGGAGAAAACATGAACTGGGCGCGCTGCTGCTTGATCGGTTGTGGAACCAACAACGTGACGACTCTGGGCCTCGACAGCGTGTGCCCCCCCACCCAGTCACGGTGATAAATTCCGGAGTCGTCGTTTTAAATTTCCGCGGCAAAAAACCCAGGGGGGGCAGAGGACGCAGCTCCGCAGCCAGAGAGAAACACACACGCCGATGGCTGCCGCAGGAAAAAAAAAAATGGAAGCGTAACTAAAGTTGGAGCGTTCTCACGCAAACCAATCTGTGTTGTGCATTGTGCCTATTGCAGCAAAACAAAAGTTGTACCTAAATAGGAGGCCAGTCTCTAAAAATGCAACAAAAAAAGGACATCAATCGGCACCTCCGATTCGCACGGTTGGCTACGTACGGTGGTGAAAGAAGTCCACACGTATATTAATAACGCCAAGGCATTGGTTCGACATTATCAACGTTGATTAAACACTTCCAAGTCAACATTGGACTTCACTCCAGGGGGAGGTGCTAAGAGAGGGTAGGGGACCACCCCCCTCCACCTGATGTCAAGTCCCAGAGAATCAACGGAGACATGACGCGACTCAAGGGGAACATCGGAACAAAGAGACGCTGGTGCAGGGGAAGTTTGTGTTGTGTGCGCGACACACATTTTTGTGTCACGTGTGCTCGTATGCGCACAGCAGTGCGTCGCACGAGAATGTATCGCAGCAGCTGTTAGACCATGGGCCAGTGCAGTTCTGTATTACATTTTAGGGATACAGGTTTCTCTATTTGGCGCATAAAAGTGGAATGTGATAACGTATTAATTAAATTGCCAATATGAAGATGTCGGTACAACTCAGGTTTGCCACATCAGGTGGTACCAACAAGGTAAAGTAAACTATTTTTTATTTTACCAGGTAAGGCCCATTAACTACGTAGCTCTTTTTCAGAAGTGACCTGGCCACAAATAATAGCTCAACAAAGTGGCTTACCACGTGGAAATGTATAACAGTCAAATACTGTAAACCCATTTTGATCCTATAAATGTGTGGGGAAAAACCGGAGGACCCGGGAGAAAAATCCACGACCACTGAGAGATAGACATGCACAAATATGCAGCAGGCGTGAGGGTCGAGATATTTGGTCTGAGCCCATGGACTAAGCAATGAAGGATAGAGAGGAAGGGAGGGCAGGTACCAGACCGACTTAGTCGCTGAATTCATTCAGCAAGACTCTGAGCTCGCGCGTTAGCACGCGGTTACTCTCCTTCTCCTTGTGGTAGCATTCTTGGGAAGGCAGAAAAGCAACGCAGATAAGGGTTAGAAGCAAGTCAAAGAGAGTGAGAGTCCATTTCCCCCTTGAAATACAGGGCAAGAACGGTAAAGAGCAGACGCGAGATTGTAACCAAGTGTAGATTACAATAATTAATAGGTATCCATAATAGGCGAAAGCCTACGTGTTAAAAAAATTAATAGGTATCCACAACAGCAAGCAAAACGTCCCAAGTGTGTTATTGCTACGGGCGATACCAAGCCACCGTCTCGCTTATCAAATGAGAAGTGGGGGCCCCGAGCTACCAACGTGGAGACTCCAAGTGGCTTGGTGGAAGAGCTAGCGGCTAGCAACTGGAATGTTACAAGTTCAAACACTGGTTGTGAAAGGGTCCGTTGGCTCAGCCCATCATCCTTCCGGCGAGGGGGGGTCGAGAAACAAAGTTGTAATTTGCGGACAAAAATAAAACCGTGGTTGTTGTGGGTAAACTTACCGCCGCCACCATCTGAACGTTGAATTAACAACATTGGCTCAGGGCCGTAAGCACACGATGCGGTGGAAGGCAAGGTGTAACGAGACGCAGATTATCCTAAATAGCTTCTTATGCTTACGAAACACGTACATCATGTACATAAAAGCACACTAGCACGGTTAGCTACGTACGGTACAGAAGTTAAACAAAAACAAAGTGATTTCCACATGCGGTCTTATGGGTTCACACAAGACCCGCGCAGCCTAATGGGCTGCTACAGTCCGCACAATAGAAAAAGAATGGACGCGGGTTAAATCGCAACAATTTTCTGGTTTCATTATCGATGGGAACCGGTGTGAGTAGGTCTCATCAAATTATCATTGTGGCAATGTGCATGAATCACACAAACAATGGCAGCAGAGTACATTAAATCTTCAGAGATAGAAAGGACATTAAATTAAATATATCTATGATTGGTAGTGTAGCAGTGGTAGTGATTGTACTGCACTGAACTATGAACCTGGCAACCCACGTTTGATTCCCAGCCGCAGCTAACAGCAGTGGCCAAGTGATAACTCAACCAGCATGGGGAAATACAGTAAAAACAATTCCGACCAAAATAAACTGAACTATTTTTTATTTTACCAGTTAGGGCCCACTGAGCTATATTGCTCTTTTTCAGAAACGACCCAGCAACGAAAGATAGCTCAATGAAGTGGCTTGTGGAAATTTAACGCAGCCATATACTCTAAACGCACATTTCTAAATGTGGAAGGAGAAACCAGAGGACCCAGAGAAAAATCCACGCGACCACGAGAACTCCAAATATACAGCAGGTGTCAGGGTCAGGATCGAACCCACAACCTCCTGTATACCAGGCGAGGTAGTTAACATCTCCTAGCCACCGCGATGATGATGAGAGACACGCAAACTCCAAATATACAGCAGCAGGCGTCAGGGTCGGGATCGAACCCACAACCTCCTGCATACCAGACGAGGTAGTTAACATCTCGCCAACGTCGTGGCGCCCCTAACCCACGGCACATTCAAACTTTTGTTTTGCCTTGTGGTTCAATATTCAATTGCTCAGGCGCAATCACCATGGCACTCGCGTCAGGCTAGGTGCACATCGAGATAATCGATGCGCAAAGAGCACGCTCCGCTCAAACGCCAGCAATAAACGAGGATAAAACGCGGCAATGTATCACAAGCCGAATGTAAACATTGCATTGGGGACTTAGGTGGGGAGTTCCTGCAGTTGGATAATTATACAACCAGTTCATAAAACGATTAAATAACACACAAAGACCTTGTGTCTCGTTTATCTAAAGCTTTTGTGACTGCAGGGATTCATATTCTTGGTTCTTTCGGTAAAGTCACGTAGAAGGGAAACAGTATAATAATAAAAATATATTGTTTTATATTTTTTATTATTTTATTGTTTCCCTTCTACGTGACTTTACCGAAAGAACCAAGAATACCTTGTGTCTTGTTGAAAATCCAACTTGCAGCAGAAACGGTGATGTCAATGCCTTTTGGACCCATGCATGGGGTGGGGAGCAGCTTAGGTGGCTGTCGATATTGCCCTGGTGCCAGTTTAATTTGCTTGCATGCCCTGGATACTGGTCTAAGGGAAAATGTATAACGGCATTAAAATGGTTACATATATGGGGACCTTTGTGTCCCCATATAAATATAAAAAAACTATGTTAAGATGGTCAATGCATATTTTATCAGAGCATGTTTTGCCACAAGTATGTGTGGTTAATGCAGACTTGACTGATACCTTGCAATAGGTATCTATTTGGCATTTGAACATCGTAACACCTGTTTCATGCGTCACCTAGGAAAAGTACATGGCTCGAGTAGGCATAATAATGCCCTGTTGTGAAAGCGTTTCCACTTAACGAGCATCAAAAATAATAAAAGCGTTTTGATGATTTGCCCAGAAGTCTACAGGGCTTCGAACTTTTCACCAGGGTGGGGAGATTAACTACCTCGCATGGCATACAGGAAGTTGTGGGTTTTATCGTGATCCTGACGCCTGTATATTTGGAGTTTGTATGTTCTCCCCGTGGTCGAGTAGATTTTTCTCCAGGTCCTCCAGTTTTCCCCCCCACTAAATCAACATCACACGTTAAGAGTATTTGGCTGCTATACATGTTCACATAAGCCACTTGATTGAGTTATCATTTGTCATGGCCAGATTGTTTCTGAAAAAGAGCCACACAGCTCTAAGGGGGTATGACCTGGGTAAAATAAAATAAAAAGTTTGTTTACTTTCTCAGAAGTGCGGCCAGGGCTGCCCTGAGAGGGAGGCTAAGGAGGAAGTTTACCTCAGGCCTCAAAGCGGACAAATGCAAATCTCTCCACAGCTAGTCGATCAGCCACCTACTTGCTGTGCCTGCCTCTACGATATAACTTTTTTTGCCAAAACTGCTGGGGAAGTGGAACCAAGAGAGCGACGCAACGAGTCCTTACTTCTTCATTGAACCCCATGACATGGGGACTGATTCAGCTCAGCGTGAAGCCTGAAAGTCGGCTCGAATTACCAACCAGGGTTTGGTTACACATAAACTTATTTTGTTACTTAAGTTCTCCACAACGACAGCAATTATTATTAGTATTGTGTTCGGGTTAGTTTAGCATGACCTGGTGACTTTTTTCGCATAGGCACTCTGGGCCCAGCCCAGCACCAGCTCTGAACCAGCAGCCAGCAGCTCTCCCCCCGCTGGCTGTGGACACACGTCACAAGTCCGTGGGGGTGGCGGTGACGGA